CTAACCTTTCTAGCAAAGATAACTGTCTCTAATCAAGCTGAAAAGTCCAGGCCCAAATTCCCCTCTCCAAGTTTAGACAAATTCATTGGAGGCAAACTCCAGGGCTTATTAAGTACAAAGATATTACCTCTGACTCAGGAAGTCCTTGGCCACAAATTGCTAGAGACTGGGAAAGTTTGCCAGGAAGGTATTACTCTCTGCTTCCCCTCCTCTTTCACTCCTCCTACAGCGTTTTACTGCAGGTCCATCCCAGGGGCAGGACACTGGGTGGTTGCTCTGGTCTGCTTCTCCGGATCTGAAGTCAACCCCAAATTCGGAGCGCTAATGGACGTACTGACCCACTCTTGAGCATTGCCCGTGGTGGTCTCAGCAGTGTGTTTTGTGGAAAGCAGTGTCTGGGCTCATTGCCTCCTTTAGACTTGGCCTTGGACCTTCCTCACCCCATGCTAGCAGTGCCCCAGGCCCCTCCTGACTCTCAGAATACAACTCTTGGATGTGATGATGTCCTTCACCTCCCCCACCTTTCATTCTTTTCTGTGTCCTGCTGGCAGGAACACTTGGCATTTGACTTGCCCTCATAACATTCATGTTTTTCTTGGAGCTCTCAGAGATAGGATTTTTCCCAGCCTGGATGAGTTGCTGTTATTTCTATAGAGTCAGCAGTACAATAGACCCTCTTGGGAGCCAAGACCTTGTCTGTCTGGTGGCTCAGGCTTACAAAGACTCAATCCTGCATGCTTAACGCTAGCCTTTGATTTCCAGGATTAGTGCCTGACTGATGGCAGGTGAGAAGGCAGAACAGCGTGGCACAAAAGGAAAGAAATCAATTAAGTTTACATTGCAACACGGACTCACTCAGGGCCAGGTTAGAGACACAAGAACTGGGTAGAGGACGGTGTTGGCCCTGGAAGCCGTGAGCCGACAGCAATCTGTCTGTAATAGGGGTGACAATGGCAATGGAGACGATCTTTCCTCTAAGGCTTTTTTTAGTCCACGCTTAATACCATTCACAATATAGCAGTTGATGTCCCCACACTATGGTTTTCTTATTTTCAAAGTTGGCTTAAAAGTTCTCAGTCTCTCTCAGCAGAGTAGGTAAAAACTGAGCTAAGGAGTATTAGTCACGTTTTTATCAAGAGATGAAAGTGATAGAGATATAAAGCACTAGCAACTTTTAATTAAAATTGAATAAGTAAAAAACAGTTGGCAGTTGCAAAATTCATTATGTTGTGTTACCAAAAATAGATGCCTTTATGAGAATGCAGTTTTATTACAACAGTGGGCACTAATTAGCTGTAAACATCATTGCTGAGATAGCCAGATAGAAAATGTGTTACTAATGCTCGTAACAGGTTTCAGTTGGCTGGAATGGAAAACTAGAAACTCTTAAGGCTCTTAAAAATGTAATCTCTCACACTACCAAAATCGATGTATGTACTTCTGTTACTTAAGGCAACTTCTGAAATTCAGGAACAATAACTTACTGTTTTCTGCATCTGGTTTTAATTGGCAAGGAAAACTCAATTTTACAGAAATGTAACCTGACTTAGCTGAAATATGTATCACCCAGTGGTTTTATTTCTTCTTTCTATAGAATAGTCAGACTTGCAAGTTAAATCCTCCAAACTTTGATACATTTCATTTGGTAAAAAATCCCTTCGACCTTAATAAAAACATGTTCCAATATGAGTTTACAGGTATAGGGCTACTGTTTAGAGCATCTTACTGACCAGTTCGGGATGTATGTGTTGTCTTGTGTAATCTCTGCAAAATTTATTATAATCAAAAAAAGTTATTTTCCTCTCCTGTAATCTAGAACATCAAGCGATAACAACAAATCTGTGGGTGGTTTATCTGATTTATGCTCATTTGCTATTGACATGTTTGAGGTATCACTTGCATCATCCCGGTCTTGCATATTTATTATTAAAAATATTAGCTGCTTATGAAAAGGAAATATTTTAAATAATTATTCATTTGGACTGCGATAACCTCTTGAAACCTGGGCCCCACTCTGGTAGACTGTATACAAAATCATTGCAAATGAAGTGCAGCCTGAAGTGTTTAAGATAAGCTTGCAGCAAGAGGATGATTTGAATGCAGGAAGATTAATATATCCCACCTACAGGGAGTGGGTCTCAACTCATGAAATTTCAGCCATTAAACATGAGGCATCTAAATCACCTCCAAAGCCAGTGTGAGAAAGAGGTAAACACAGCCTGTGATTTAGCTCTCGTAATTTAGAGACGAGGCCTTCAGGGGAGACTCAAGCAGCAGTACCCAAGCTTGAGCTCGTATTTTCAAACTTGGATGCTTCAACATAGTCTCCTAAATTCTTGTGTCAATACCTAAGTAAGCACACGCAGAAGTGATGAGTGAAGTGGTGGCTCCTTAGCAAAGTCAGAAGGTGCTGCGCAAGGTGAACACTCTTCCAGAAGAGACCACTTCTGTGCCTAACTCGGAGTGCTGTGCTGTAAAAGTAAAATTGCGGTACAAGCCCCACATTTTAAAACTTTTCCCACGTTCCTTGGCATCTATGCATTGATAAAAAAGAAAAAAAAAAATCAGCCTTTGTAAACAGTCACCCGTCCCAATCTTGCTAGTATGGCTGCATTCTAACTTAATTGACCGATGTGATGTGCTGGTACACTGGATCTACATGCCAAGTTCATGAGTTGAAACAAAGTACAACGGAGAAAAATGTGAGTTTCCAGATGTTTTCAGCAGTTTTCAGCA